GCCGGATTGGCTTTCACCGTGGACGAAGCAGAGTCCAGCCCGGGGTTGTCACATGTGGTTGCCACACTCAAGACTGCCCGCCGCCGCTCACTCTAGCCCGCCGGCCTGCGCTCATTCAAGGCCGCCGTGTGTGACGCTGTAACTTTTATTCTCGCTGTAGTATTGTTGCTGCCGCCGCCATGTCATGGAGACGCTGTGTGTTTCGTTGTGAAAGCGAAACTACTTTGTTTGGTCTTCCAAAAGAGGACACGACTAGAAATCAGTGGTTAAGTTGTATTTACAACACTGTTCCAGAACAGTTCAACCCAAATATTCAGATGTGTGCAGCACATTTTATGGAGGACTGTTTCCTGATCCTGTGAGAGCAGGCTACAATGCCGGCAATATGGTAAGGGGCGTAACATTTCCGTCACACGCTTGAGGTATTCGGCCAATCACAACGCACTGGATAGCTGGCCAATCAGAGCACACCTCGCTTTTCAGACCGATGAGCTTTGTAAAAATCGACGTGTTTCAGAAAGGCGGAGCATAGAGGAGAAACAATAATGTACAGTATGTGGAAAATAATGTGTATTTTGTACCTTAAACCGCATAAACACATTTCATTACACCAAATACACAAAATAATGTTCTTATTTAGCAACATCATATGACCCCTTTAAATAAAAACCTCTAAACCAGCTAATCAAGGTCTTTAGTATCACTAGAAACTTCAAGGAAGGTGTGTTAGAGCTAAACTCTGCAGGACGGTAGCCTTCAAGGAGCAGGATTGGACACCTTTGGACTAACCAGTCCATTGCAGGGTTAACACTCTCACACATTCACACTTTTTGAATTGAGGAGAAAACCGGAGCACCCAGAGGAAATTCACTCCAACACGGAAAGTACACAAACTCCAGGACTCAAACAGGGGACACCCAACCTCCAAGTCAGGTCTCAAAGAAAATCCCAATTATTTTCTATTGGTAGCTTCAGCATTGTGGTGCCCTTCTTTTAAGTGTGATCAACCCTACGTGACTTGAAGGCAGCATCAAGGTAATTTGTCTAATAACCCCAACAGAAGGCCTGTTTACATTATAAATTAATTCCTCTTGTGTAACTGATTGCGTCTGCATAAAACTATCAATGCATCAAAAGTGGCACATGCAGTATTCGCCTTTCTCAGCACAAAGTTTTGCAGGATTTACCATGACTATGACCTGATACTCCTGAAGATGCAGTTTTCCGGTCTCAATTCATCAGGGATGATGTAAGCGCTCACAGCTGCTGCTGCTGCTGATCTGAGATCAGATCTATTGCTTGTTCTGTGAGGTATGTGGTAATGGAAGGGTAATACAACTCATGAGCGGTCACAAACTGTAGATAGATAAGCGTTTCCCAGCCCTGTTCCTGGTGGCACATCAGTAGTGCACATTTTTGAACTCTTCCTAATCAAACACACCTGATTCAACCCATTAGCACATTAGTGGAAACTGTTGTATTACAAATTTATAAAATGTTAAATCTAGGTTCCAATGTAATAGAATATATACTGAAAAAGTTATGTACCTTGTGTTTTACATTTTGAGGTAAAAAAAGGATGACCTTTCTAAGGAGATCAAATCAGGAAGCCCAGGTGTCTGAGATAATGACCTTTTGTCTTTATGCTCTTCCTGACCATCTGGCTTTTTAAGCTCAAAGCACAGCTGTACCTTTGTCTCTGTGATAATGCGAAAGTATGGCGATACTGTCAGACTGATTGGATCAGCACCTATGCATTGAATGACACTGTTATACTGATGAGATCAAGGCTGGGAAAATGCCTGTGTCGGGCTGATTCCTGTACTTCATTTGCATGCTATGGGTTAGATTGTCTCCACCTCTACGGAATGTATCCCGCCCCCTTAAAATGTATATAAACTACAATGTATCACTACGTTAGTCAGACTTTTGATGACTGCAGCGCCACGCAGCGCGTTCTCAATAAAGAACTCTGCTGAAAATACCTAAGAGTCTCCTGGTCTCTGCTTAGACGAGGAAAACATTTCCAACAAAACTAATGTGGAATCTAAAAAATGGGTGGTTCAGATAAGGGAGACATATCGAATTGCTTTCTTTGCACACTTCTGGCTCAACCAGTTTCATGAGTTTGAGGTAGGACTTCCTGAGCAATGGTGGACAAGTTAACAGACTTATATTTTTGACAGGCTATAAACTGGTTGAAAACTAATTGCATTGAACATTTGCATTGAAGGAGGCACTTGAGCAAATCTAGGGACCAGAATATCATGGAGACCTGCAAGTTTGTTTTTTTAACTTTGGCCAGTAAGCAACCATCCGAACACCCAAGCAACTGCAAAACTACCACCCACACACAGCATCGTGCCTGCGAGTTTTACACTGGCAAACATCACTCACATTTTGTTCAGAAACTTTTGCAATTTCATTTGGTGTACAAAAATGACTCATAGCAGCTTTCAACAGAGTGTGCTTTGTGTGTGTGTGTGTGTGTGTGTGTATGTGAATATAAATTGGGGGCTCGTCCGGGATTACTGGTACCTCTCTCCTCATTCTTCTCAGCTGTCAGACATGTTATAATTGAACAAAAGAAACCACCATGACTTTTCTTTTTTTTTTTGCAGCTGATTTTTGTTTCCCAGCTTACGCTTTACAACTGCCATCTATCATATTGCTTGAGTACAGAAATGCATTCTGCTGTTGATAAAATCCATTGAACTTTTATTAATTGGACGACTCACAATGCCTGCTTTCTCTCTTAGGTACGTGTCTGGTGTTGGGCTGTATGATATATCCTGATGGCTGGGATGCTGATGAGGTGAAGAGGATGTGCGGAGAAGGGACGGACAAATACACCATTGGAGCATGCTCAGTGCGCTGGGCGTACATCCTGGCCATTATGGGCATCATGGACGCCCTTATTCTCTCTTTCCTGGCTTTTGTGCTGGGCAACAGGCAGGATGGACTCATGTCCGAGGAGCTGCTGGGAGACAGTAAGATTAACATTTTTTTTTTCTGAAGGATTGTTATTCTGTGTCTTTGTCATGTCTAAATGTCATGTCTTACCATTGGAGATTGCAGATGTATCTCTGTCAACTTGAGTTTTTAGTCTTCATTTATGCAAATAAATAATTGAAAGAGTGTTGGACAATAAGAGGTTATACACAATTCATATATCCTGTTCAAAACAGTTGGGGCAGAGCAAAAAATACAAATAGAAAAACAACTTGATAGTTGGTACCTTTGACAAAAACATCATTTGGTTGTGGAATCTAAGTGTTATTGCTGTTGAAGTCTATGATATGCTACTTGCTATTGTTAGTCATTTGCAAGTGATATAAGGGGAAGGACAATGTTATTTGTATAGGACAAATATTTGTATATATATTTGGACCATTTTTCAGTAACAGTATTTTGGTAAACTTCTAAGTGTACACTAGCATATTAGCCTCAAATTAGACATGGGGCCAACATTTGAGGGATTTGCATACTAAATTTGTGAATCTTACCAAATTAAGGTAACATGAGAACAAAGAGTGAAAAATTGAAGGGGGTCTGAATACTTTCCGTACCCACTGTAAGTTTTGAAATACTGAAAAAACAAAGAGGTGGTTAACAAGAAGTGTATAATCAAACTTTTCTCTGTGAAAGAATGCAGAAATGGCCTGGCTAGTTTTGTGTATTTCTGATACACAAACATTACATTTTTTAATTATAATCACAAAATGCATAATTTACATAAATGAAAGTGAAGAATTACAAACTCGATTTTCCATTTCTCCCCATAAATGCTCTAACACATCAGTTTTCAACGCGCAGCTGTTGTACCATTCGGTCCAATTCATTCATTACTAGACAGAGCCTGCCAGCCAGAGGTGAGTGAAGACAGACCAGCTTGAGAAAATAAGACAAAGTGATGGTCATTAAGGACAGAATCAGATGATAGGGCTGTGAAAATAAATGAGATATGAGAAGGAGCGAGAAGAAGAGGAAAATAGCAAGTGAAGGAAAGATAGAAAGGTAGAATTTACCATGGACTGGGGTTAATTGAAGCCTGGGGCTCTGGACCCAGCCATGAATTACTAATGACTGTTTACACAGCTTACTGTCAGCCCGTCCATATTAATCACAGGCACAGCATCAGCTGGAACCCATGCTGTGCTGAACAGCACACCTGGAGCGAAACGCTATTTATGGATATGGACTATAAAATGCTTCATATAATGAAGGTAAATGAAGGAACAAACTCCACTTTCAGGAAGTCCTGGAAACCTGGACCATAAAACTATTATTTTATATAATGGTAATGAAGGGTCACTTGTGTTAAGGTTTGATATGAAAGCGATGAGTTGCAAATGGTGAGTAAGGATGTTTGTATAATGATGAATGAGCAATTCACTTAATCCTGCAGAAACAGAATTTATGTCATATTTTGTGATGGCACATGATGGTGTAATCTAGTGGAGATTACTGGTTAGGTTTATCCCAATTGACAGTATGTGAGAAAAGGTCTATTTAAAGGAGACATAACACACACAGTTTCACCCAATCTCATGTTAATCTTGAGTACCTATAGAGTAGTACTGCATCCTTTATATCTCCAAAAAGTCTTTAGTTTTATCATATTTATAAAGGAAAGATACAGCTTTACGATTCTCTCCGGAAAAAGCCGAGCTCCTGGAGGCGCGCCGTGGGCGGAGCTAAAGATTGACGAGCACTTGAGCTCCGACTGCCAACAAAATACAGACATTTGATGCAGTTTCACTTACCGTCTACAGTTCTGAATCATGACCGGGATCTTTTATAGCTCGACCGCTCCATCCTTCAGTATCAAACGATGTGCTAATCCAGCGTCGAACTGGGCCTTGCTTATAAAACGTTCGTCAACAAACATACTTGTGAAACTCCGTTGCTGCTCCGGAAAAACAAACCGCACACTCCATTGTTTACATAACGTTGGGTTCTTTAGGAAGCTGAACAAAGTTATCTTTCCCTTACAACCAAAAGCACACTTCTTTGGAGACATTCTTCCCATGCAGCGCTGCCGCAGGATGAAGCGCGTTGATGGGCATATCGATCCGAAGTATCGATATATCGATACTGACTCAAACAAAAAATATCGTTTTAAACAAAGTTAAGTGGCTTTCATTACCCATTTTAGCCTACTCTTAGTAATTTAATAATGTAATAAATTTCATAATTTAAAAGTTTAGTGCAGAAGTATCGAATCGGTATCGATATCGACGATACTGCACTAAACTTTTAAATTATGAAATTTATTACATTATTAAATTACTAAGAGTAGGCTAAAATGGGTAATGAAAGCCACTTAACAATGCCCATATAAGGAGTTAGACCCCCGTCTACGTCATGAAGAGCCACGATCGAAAAAACTCTCCGAAACTTGTACGAACCCGGAAGTAAGATTTTTAGCACAGAAATACTCCGTCATAAGTCCAAATAGTTTTTTTGAAATTTTGTCCATGCTTAGCATGAGAATCCGACTCTTTAACAGTGTAAACAACTCTGAATGCATGAAACAGTATTGTACCCTCCCTTTAATGTGTATTTATCAACTGTGACAGCTGTCAGTAGTTGATAAATATTTCTGCTGCATTTGAAAATTACTCTATGTATTTAAGCTGCGATTTTTGCTTTAATTTTGATAAAATTTTCTTCTATTTTCATCAACAGAGAGTGGAAATGCATAGACGCCAGATACACTCAGGTGAGTGAGTGTTGGTCAGTATGTATGAGTCTTTGTTACTTTAAAAATACCATGAAATTGTTTGATACAATATTTTTTGCCTTCGTTGACGTATTTACTACTGAAACAGAGTTAGGCTCAGACATATTGAAGGTCTTGAGACATACTGAAGATCAATATTTAATATAGACGCACTACTGTTCAAAAGTTTGGGGTTAATATGATTATTTAAAAATGTCTTTGATCTTCAAAAGACCTTTTTGTGTTTGTGATAAAACAAATTACACACTCGGACCTCAGATGTAAATTTTGAAGCTGCTTTTTTTATTATTAAAAAAAAAATTTTTAAATCCAAGTGAGCAGTTTCAAAATTTGCGGTATGAAACTTTCTGTGGAAGAAAAAAAAAGACATTTTGTCCATAAAATGAAAGTCAGTTGATCCAGTGTTTTTTTTTTTTTAGACCTCACTGACAACAACACTCTTCAAAATATCTTATTTTGTGTAGAAATAAAGTGATGTTAGGAATTTTAAATTTTTTTGTGAATTTTCTAAATGATCTCTTCAAGGTTAGCTTCCTTGTGTAAACTTCTCAAGTGTAATGCTGTGAATTTATACTAAAACATCACGTTAATTTGTTTTCAGGTGTTTCTGTCTCGTTCAAGGAAAATCATTATGTGAAATCACAATCCAGCTTTATCCATCATCCTGAGGGCAGGAAGCCTGACTGAAGCAGTTAAAGGATGCAAACAGGGTGAATGGAGTTGGGAACTCGCTGCTTTTCTGTCCATATCCCTTCTTTTCACTTCACTCCCTGGAATTGCTTCTCAACAAATCCCTACCGTACTTTAATTTACAGTGTTCTGTACTACTAACATGATAGGGCAGCTAATGCACCGTTTAGAAGTAACTTGACTTGGATTAATAATAATAATAATATTTATTTATTTTACATTGTGTTCTCCTTTAAAGGCCTGCATTACAATAATGTTAATATTTTGGGATTTATGAATTACTGTAAAACACTGTTCTATTTGACTGGATTTTCCAATATAGAAGGAAACATTTACAGGATTAGATTGTGGGATGTACATTCTGGCACAGAGCTGCACCACAGACATTACTGGCTTGTTATTATTTCTGTCACTTCCATCCCTGGACCAAAAAAAAAAAAAAAAAAGGCAGCAAAATGGGACACTGAATCCTGACCACTTAAATGAGAGCCAATTTAAAGGCTAGTGATCATTTATCGGGTTTCAAAATGTACAATTATTTCAACAACCCTATCCAACATTGTTTAAAAGGGGTATGTAAACAGAAGTTGAGAGTTCACTGTTAATATATTTTTAAAAAATAAGTGTCAAAATTAGGGGCAGACATCTCTGCCATTAGTAATTGTGCACAGGCCAAGTATATAAAGAAGTAGGAGAGTGTTTTAAGTATTATGTACTGAGTGTATATGTTGAATTTCTGTATGTCTCCAATTCGATATTTCCTTCTCGGCAATGTTGGTGCTGTATAGTTATGCGTGCCATAATTATGATGTTCTCAGCTGGTACCGTTTTGTACTCTTGGTATTATCATTCTGTCCCACCAAGACAAATGAACAGCCTAGGATCACCAATCAAAAAGAAAAAATGTCATTGGAAAACCTGGAGGATGTGGTTTCAAAAAGCAAAAGCCCACAGGAAATGTGTACCTTGTGCCACTCCCTCCGTTCTTGGATAACTGAAGAGTTTGGACAATGCTGGATGAAGTTCTGAAGGGAAAGAAAAAAATGTTTCGCTTTATTTATTGGGTGTCTGTCTTGTCTGATGGTGTTGTATGTAGAAAAAGATGTAAATACACCATTAAAATGTATTAGTTCTAAAAGTTCATTAAAGACAATTCACCCACATTAATGAATAAAGATTTGACCTCTACCGACTAAAATCAAGGTATTTAATTTTTAGCATTGTTGTAAATAACACATATTTATCTTACTACTTTACTTTTTTTTTCACAGGCCAGCGGTGTCCAATCTTGCTCCTGGAGGGCCAATCCCCTTGTCCACATACCTGCACTTGCGGTCTTTGCACTTGACTACTTACATGATGTATTTCCTGTATTTGGTCTAAGTGTTCAAGTGAACATGAAGATGTGTAGAACTTTTCATTACCTGATGGGACACACTATAGTGTTGCAACGCTGTTTACAGAGCTTCATTTTTATTTTCAATACTTTGCATTTTAAAATCAACTTCTGAATGTCTAAATGTTCAGTAGTCTCTGTGTGGTGCTTCTAATTAAGTAATAAAATGCAGTTGCAAATGTTGCACAAAATAATTATCACTACTCATCTGCACCAATAAAACGTGCAACTCTTTGTTTTACTACCAAATTATATGTAATATCTAACTATTATTAATATTTAACATACCTCTCACGAGATCTCGGCAAAAAGTCTCACGATTTATTTCATGATGCATGGTGGGATACACTAAGCCTCGAATACCGCAGATAGTGTGGATTTATATATTTTTTTTAACGTTTTTAAGACCTGGGACAGAGTCTTGCGCACTTACTTCCTATCGCGCGCGATCTCAAGTGGCCAAGACTGTAAGTGTGGGTATTTGGACAAGGGGAATGTCCTGTAGAGTTTAGCTCCAATACTAATTAAACACACCTGAACCAGCTAAACATGTTCTTCTGGATTACTAGAAACGTCCAGGCAAGTGTGTTTTTGGCTGGTTGAAACCAAAATCTGCTGGATGTTGACCTTCGTGGAGGACTGGACACCCCAGACCTGCACTCGGTAATACTGACCTGACAGCTGCTTCAGTCTTCAACATGGCAAACCTTAGCATGACAACAAAGTTGTGCATGATGTTATTGAGATACATACAAACATTGGCAGTTATAGCTAACTTTATTAATGCACCCCATGCTCATCTTTCTTCATCATAACATTTCTACCTTCATTCCGGTTGATTGTAACCTCTGGCTTGATGTTGTTTGGTCATGTAATCTTTCTTCCTTCATTCCGATTGGGTTTCTTAAGTCTGCTTTCATTCTGATTGGTCATAAAAACTCGTTTCTTTGAAGCATCTATCAGATACTGAGAAAAAAAACAACTAGGTTTATATTTTATATAATGACAATAATAGTGGTCAATAAACAGAAACCTCGAGATAGGTCTCCGCAACAGCAGTCTCTTCAAACCTTCATTGCAGAACCTCTTCACACAGACACCTTCACAGTGAAAGAAAAACTCACATTAGGAACATGTAAACATCAAACCCCCAGTAAAACACACAGGACGATTCGGTTGGTATAAAACTGTCATTACAGTGATTTATTATAATGAACCATGAAAATAGCCAACCAGTGCTGTGTCTTGTGAGCCTGTCCTACACATACACGCACACAAACAGTAAAAAAAAAAAAAAAAAAAAAAAAAAAAAAAAAAACAGGAAGAAATAAAAATAGTGCTACAGTCACAGAAACATTCAGCATTTTTGTCAAGAGAGCTTGTATTTACAACCATATTCCAAAATGGGGATGGGAGCGAATTATACAAGCATAGAAAAGAAAAGAAGCCAATATTTACAACTGTTTCTGGAGAAAGCTGGAGTAACCACCTATACATTAAATTACACTTTCTACAAATAAACATTGATATTCAAAAATAAACCGCTTACCCCTACAGGAAGGACCTCTCTTTCTAAAGCTGCCAAAGAGAACAGCACACATCTGTCTGCGCCGTATTTGCTTTCCGTCTCTCATGCGCACTTCAAATATGCACACGGATGCGGGCGGCATGCAAGCATACACGCTCCCTTCCGCTTAAAAACACACTCAATGCACACAGACTCGCTCATTCACACAAGTGCAGTCTCCTGGGGCAGTGAAGCGGCCTATCAGAAAGGTCTCCTCTGAATTTCTGCAGCGGTGCACAGATATTTTTGTTACATGGAGGAATAAAAAAAATAATAATTCTGTATTTTTTTTCTCTATACAAAACCTTTTTGCTATATAATGAGCCACTAGATAAAACAAATAACTAATGAGTGAAAAAACTGTGAGAAACGGGAAGAACAGGGAAAGGTAAGGAGGAAACTGGAATGTCCCATTGCATTGCACTGGGAGGATAGAGGAAGGATTCAACGGGAAGAGACCGGAAAGGGCGATTAAAATGAATTAAAACATTAAAAGTAAAAAACGACGTCTGGAAAAGACAGGATGGCAGTACAAGGTTATGGGAAGGAGAGAGGTGTGAGTGATGATTCTAGGTAAGTGGTGAGCACCAGGGTTCATTAACCATCATCTTTTACACAAAGTCTACTGATACAGTTCTGCATTTCTCGTTTTTCTTTTTAAAATGTACCCTTTTCACCCACTGGTTTCCATTAGCCTTTGTGAAAAGGTACATAGAAAATATTTACAGTGGTGCTGTGTTGCCTATGTTACACAATGTAGCTCTGCCCCTCTCTGAGCAAGTTTGTTTAGGGGGCGGGTATTAAGTGGTGTGGTCAGTGCCATCCTGTGCCCAAGTATCCGGTACTGTGAAAGGGGACGGACGAAGGGGTAGGTCCTCGGTTACCACCAGCGATCTGTGAGACGCTCGGATTGGGCGGGGTCTGTGTGGGAGGAGTTTGTTGGGGAGGTGGTGGTGGAGGAGGGGGTAATGCAGTTTGTTGATAAGTGGAAGGGGTTATTGAGGGGTTGGCTGGTGCAGACTGGTGTTAGAGTGGCTGGTTTGGAGCTCGAAGTCTTGGTGCTGGACTGCTGGACGGACAGTGCCTGAGGCTGAGAAGGACCACAAGGCTGTGCTTCACCATCTTCCTCTTTGGATGGTCGAGACACAGTCTGGGGTGCTGGAGAACAAGGCTGTAAATGGAAAGAAAAATGGTTTATGATAACATGAACTTGCTGGTTGAGAAAACGAATTGTGCATGTAAACATAGCCATTGAGGGAAGGTTCTCTTACTGCATGTGTCGAGGGGCTCTTGCAGCTCTTGGGAGAAGGGCATTCCTTCACCTGGGAGTCGCCACCCTCTGACTCTCCACCGTCTGAAAAGGAGACAAAGCAGGTATTTGAATATTAAGATTAGAAGATTTTACCAAGGTTCCCACACCTTTTGATCAATGCATTTCCATGATTTCTACAGTTTGGGCTAACCTTCTTACAAAGTTTAGCTCCAACCTACTGCTCCAGCAAACCTGCCTGGAAGCTTCTAGTGATCCTGAAGACCTTGATTACCAGTTTCATTGTTTAATTAGGGTCGGAGCTAAACTCTGCAGGACGGACACCCCGTGGTATATCAGGTACCAATTCATGGGTTTAAACAATTATCACAAAAAACATGGAAATCACAATCCAAAGTTCCCTGATGTTTCCAGGGTTGTTTTTACCTGCATCCTTGCGATGGTCACTCAACAACAAGGCCCTGTGGTAGCTTCGTTCCCTGGCCTGCTCTACTGACGTTGAAGATGTCCTGTAAATTAAAAGAGAATTATTATGCTTCAATATTATTTTTAATTCATAATTGGCAAAGCTCAGTTGGCCCAAATGGCCATCAAACTGTCCAAGATATCTCCACAAATGTGTTTCATAACCTCTAATGTCACAAGACAGCCTAATTTCTTGATAAGAGTTTTAATCTGAACCTTTAAAACAAATTTCTATTGTAAAGGAGTTTGTTAAAGCGTGAGTACTTTATTCTCATGGAAGGGAATATATTTTAGGGACATACCACTGCCCTTCTCCATCTCTCTCCCCCTGAGGTGGGGCGTCTGGCTCCTCGCTGTGCTGAGGAGTCCTGGGGGTTGGCGCTGCTGTGAGAACAGGTGGCTCAGGGACCACTTCCACTGCGACAGGGAATACATCTACTGGTGGTGCCGTGGAAACAGGGGAGCCACACTCTCCCTTGGAGCCACTTCGCCGTGCCTCACGCTGACGTTTCCTGTACTCCAGAAGAGACACCTAACAACACAAATACGAGATGGGTACAGTCAATTAACAACATTGAATAAATGGAATACATGATTTTTTGACAAATTTATTCCAGCCATTTCTTCAGTTAAGTTTAACGGATAAGGAATTTAACACATTTTTATTTACATTTATGCATTTGGCAGATGATTTAACAGACCTTTTTCTTCTGTGGGTTCTTTGCAGCTCCTCCCTCCCCTGTGCCATCACCACTCAGTGAGCGAGTAAAGGTCACGCTGCTGCTCTCCTCATTACAGGAATAGAAGGGCGCCGCCTCACTGAAGGGGCCAGCGGAGGTTGAATCTGGCCTGTATGCCCCCATCTCTAAGGTGTGAGAAGGGGTGAGGTCTCTCAGATTAGAGTTCACTGGGGAAAACGAGAGGCCACCTCGGTCTGGACTCTTCATCCAGGGAGGGTAAGAGGAGGCTTGTGTCTCGGGTGCAGAGGCAACTTCTGAACCTCCACCGTCAATCTCCATGCCTTCATCTACCGCAGCATCCTGGGGCTCAGCATGGGAGGGCTGAGGACTCAGAGACCCCAGATCCTGTGGAGCCGTATCAGAGCCTGCATTTCTCACGCTGGGAGATGCCAACAGCGAAGGAGGTCGTTCAACCTGACAAACGAACAAGATGTGTTAGATGTGCTAATGAAAAATGCAGCAGAACACCTCTGTAGCAGGTATAGGATATTTAAGTAGTGAACTCACGTCTTGTGTACTGGGCCTTCGGCTAACATCTGGAGAACTGTCCATAGACGACTCGCTCTGTGAATTTACAAAGATATTTCATGATAATTTTGTTGCCTTTAACCACAAAAAATTTTCAAATCAACGCCACAGAAGTGACCAATAATTTTAAGATCATCACCACTGGTGATAACCGTCCACACCGGCCCAATAGCAAAAGTGTTAGTGCCCTCTTGTGTCAGAACTATATAGTTCTGTTTTCACAGTTTGGAGATAACTTTCATTTAATATTGGGCAAAACATATCCACTACATCTCGCTCAAGATCACTGGATTAGGTTTTAATTGTTTAAGAATCCTTTTAGAGAGACTGCAATCACAAACATCTAGCGTGGTAAGCAGCAGGGGCGTGCTTGGTGCTTCTGTTGACTCTGTTCGGGTTGGGGTGGCACAAGGAGACCCGTATGGTGTGGAAGTCTCTGACATACAGGGATCGAGTGAACATAAGCGCCTTTTCTTCAACGGGGTAGGCAACTCTGCAAGCACATGGACCAAGAAAGACTAAGGACTGCTTTAGACAAGCTTTAAGTTATTAATTTGCAGCAGACATGGACTGATGTCCCACCTGGTAGTGAGCAACTGCCGTTGAGAGGTAAAGGGCTGTGGGACTCGCCGTTTATAGAGGGGCTGAGAGGGCTATCACTAGGCATCAGCAGAGAAGGGCGCCCTTCACCTGGGCTGGTGGAGCCCTCCTCTTCTAAAGCTTGCTTCAGCCAGCGCTGCACAAAACATATGGAGTTAGACCAGAAACTTGCAAGCCTAAATATGAACACTTGAAAGTAAATATTAAAGTGGATCTGAGTTCAAATGTATGGGATTATTTTCCCTGCAGTATCATCCGCCAGAACAACCATTTTATAATCAGAGAGAGGCAAAAGTCAATAATGCTTGCTGGCATCTCTGAATAATGCAGCAATTTTACCTTCTTGCAGGAACCAGTGGTAGGTGATGTTTCAGGCATTTCTCTTGAGCGCCGCCGCCCCGTGGGCACTCCCAGAGTGCTGGGGCTACGGTTGGCCAGAAAAGGAGAGGAGAAGCGGACATAGTGTTTAGGCGTGCTGTAGACGTGTGAACTGCAGGCCATGCCCGGTAGAGAGTTCAGCTGTGTGGCCAAGACCTCAGGATCACTACTGATCCGCAACGGCCTCTCAGGGGGAGGCTCCGGAGTCTGAGAAGCTCCCCGTTCCTGTTTGTCAACACCCATCCACTCGCTCACTAAGTGCTGCTGGGAAAGAGAATATGCAAGTTATAAAATGCACAAACTGCTTTGAAACGCATTTTATGGAAGTTATGTGTGAAGAATTCTACCTTTTTAGTTTTGGGGTACTTCTGTCCACTGCGGCAAGGCGGGGCAGGTGAGCCGCTGTGGGGTGGGCTGGTGTCAGGGTCACGTGACGGTGGAGCATCAGCCTCAGGGGCCGAGGGCGTCTCTCCATCATGAGTCTGTGTTGTTAAGGGCTCTAAAGCATCACCAGGGGAACTGGGCAGCAAGTCAGAGCAGGTGCTGACTGTTCGCGCTCTCCGCCTCTGCTGTCCTATGTGTGTGCGGTTCCGCGAGAAGCTTTTCCTCTGTTTGTTCCGGCTCACCTTTGCTGGCTTCAGACAAGGCTCCTCCTCCTTCACTACCTCTATCATGGGCTAAAGGTCCAAACAATGAACGATATATATATATACTTACTATATACACTTTTTTTTTTTTTTTTTTTTTAAGTTTGGGGTCAGCTTTCATTTTTGAAAAGAAACTTTATAAAAATATAACAATTTACTGTTTGTAAAAACATCTATAATCTTACAAAAGATTTCTATTTTAAATCAATGCCGTTCTTTTGAACTCCCTATATTACGCTTTTTACTGTATTTCTGATCAAATAAATGTATGTAACATTAACAGTTCACATTTTATTTAGGGTCATATATGACCAAAAGTAACTTTCGTCTACAACTTAATGTCAATCGAGTCAGAATCAGTTGTGCAGGAAACACGCTACTGATTTGGTGATGTTTGCACATCATTGAAGGTTATGTACCTGTAATATGACAGGAGATTCAGCCTCTGGTGTAGCAGGAGGCTCTTCCTTAATCTCGATGTGTCCACCAACTTCCCCTTTGGTGCCGATCCTTTCTAACGCTTGCTCCCTCCGCTTTTCTCTTTTCTCCATACGAGCAAATGCCTGCAGAATGGCCTCCATCTTCCTCTCTTCACGTGTCTATGTGAATGATGGACAGAAAGAACGAAGGAAAGAAAGACAACAGAGAAAGGCTGAGTCTAATTTCTGGCTGACAGTTGGGATCCCAGCTAGCTACAATCAGTACGCCATAGCCAGCAGCATAGGCGGGAAAAGAGAGAAATGGGACACTTCTCTTCTAGTCAAGAGGGAACATAAGACCCCCCCCCCAAGGTGTGAGAGGTGGCATGTATGTGCGTGAGAGTTTCTGTACTCTCTCTTGTCCTACCAAAAAGAACGGCAACAAATAACACACAAGGGTGTCTTGAGGTGGGCCATGTTGAGCGACTGAGGGTTGCATACCTGGTCTCAGCATGGGGTCAGTGAGCACAGGACAGTGGGGTTAGTGTGTGAGTTCTCCTGTACAGTAACAGGCAGAGGGTGGGTTGGGTGTCATTCATGATATGATGGGATAGGTTTACCTCCTTGTTTCTCAGAGCTCTGCAGCAGGAAGCCCCTGCGCCGTGACGATGGGACTCCTCTGCCGGGCCGCCCTGAATGGTGCCGAAAGAGACAGCCATCAGGGTTCAAACACACACAGGACTCTAGTTTGCTCACACCCCCATGCACACATTCATATGTATCAGCCTAGTCCTTGCTGTCTGGGTAGTGTGGTTGGGGTTCAGAGCTTCAGTATGGGCATACCTTGTGATTAATGGACATACCCCTCTTTTACCAAAAGGTGCCGGTTCTGGGCTGGGAACAATTGTCTTGAACAGAAATCACTAACGTCTGAAACAAGGGGGCAAGATAATGTCTTCACCACATAAAGTTCTTAACTACACTGGCGGCAAAAAGTGGTCTATGTGGGAAGTGTCTGCTGCAATGTACATGCTGTTGAGCAAAAACTTGTTTAAGAGCATGTTGTAAGTATTGTAGTCTGTTGATAGGCTTAACGGGGACCTGTTCCAGGAGAGGTTCTCAAATCCCCAGACCAAGCGCCAGTACCATTATGGTGGAAAAGGGGTGTTAGAGAACTCAAATAAGATTGGCAGGAAATCAGAATTGTCTTTGAATTGCTTGTCTGTCCTGTTGCAGCAGAGAAAATGAGAGGAATGCTTGGGGAATTTCCACTAATAACGTACCAGAGTCTGGTACCTTGCTATTAATTTATTCAGATAAAACCACATTTTTTTTACAGCTGTTAGCTTTTTTTCTGCTTTGTTAATTGTAAGGCATTTTAGGAATGGTTGTGAGTTATATTTTCTTCACAATGTTTGTTGAGGAAAGTTTTGGAAGTGTAATGGGTTCAGAGCCTGTTTTTCCACACATTTTTCCACCTGCCTTAACCAGTCATGGCAAGCAAACAAAAAAGCACCACACACAGTAATAACCACACCAAAACATTCACATAAAACATGTTTAGTGAGAGAGTTACTACACTCTCTATGGTTGATCTTAAACTAATATGTAACCAATAGCTAAAGCTATTATTCAACCAGACAGCAAGCTCCATGCCTGTTGGTCCATGCGTCACTAGGGTTTCAATCAAGTTACATTATTCAAAACAATTCTATGTGAGGATCTTTGCAACTTTACGTGACCTTTTTTAATCAGTCAAGAGTTTGACACTGTAATTTACACCCTAACATATTTTTAATGCAAAAAGTAACGGTTTTTGTTCAGGATTGTTCAGTTTTGGTAGGCAGCAGTGTTGAATAGATGCCTGATTGGACATGAATGGTCGTAAATGTGCTTCAGAATGGAACAGAGGACCAAATATATAGTAGAAACGTAGAACCACCACATTGGGTTCCATGTTAATTAACATGTAAATTAAAACACTGTGTAGTACTTCAGTAGGTTCCTCCATTTAAGCATGATCTCTCACTACTAACATGGTCTTGACATTTAGTCATGACAGAGGAGAGAAATGACTGCAGATGAAACACAGTCCAGCTCTTAACATTCCATCATGGAGAACCAAAGAGGCTCTATAAAAGATGAAGTATGAAAAAGAAAGACAAAGCAACAAGGATGAGTGCCCTCACGCTATACTTCAGGAGGTTAAACTACACAGCGACAGGAACAGAGAAGCGGTGGCGGCAGCAGCAAAATTAGCGGGAGGTTTAGAGGGTGTGGAGGGGAAGAAAGGAATGGTGGAGCATTCTGGGAGCTGCCCAAATCACCACACACCAGGAGGCAGAACGAGGAGGGGAAAAAGACAGGGGGTGTGGGCAATAGCGTTTCCATGGCGACCGTGATTGCCATAGTGGTCGTTTTCCCCTGGAAGCACTTACCATCTTCCTCCTCCTTTCTGCAATCTGCTCCTCTGACTCCATCTCTACTTCATTGCTAATGGAGGTTTTCTCTTCTAGATCCTCTATTAACTCAGGATCCTGCAAGAGGGGGAGAGGGCCTTTATCATCGCCTGGCTACAGACCAGGAGAGGAGCATTAGAGAGGGAGAGAAAAGTGCGGGAAGTGTCGATTCGGGCCGAGTGTGACCGAGATCTTGGGTCAGACAGACCAGATTGTACTTATGAGAATCTGTGCATCAATGCAACTACTAAAAAGATCGGAGTGGATTCCTCTGTTCTAACTGTGCCAGAATTGCTGACAACTCTTCCTGGGATGTCCTGATATATATGACACCAGGATGGCAGGGAGTTACATGGGTAGATTCTTGCAAATTTTCACAGCGTGCCAAACAAGCAAGATTTAGTATTCTGCCACCAGCCACCACTGAAATACAGGAACATATGAGCAAAATAATGCGGAAATTTTTTTTCTGGTGATTAGACACTGTAATTAGGGCCAGGAAGGAAATGTGGATGAGTAAACAGATCATTAGAATGACTGAAACTATCCAATGAAGAAAGAATCATGCACAGATTAATACACATAGATAATATTTACATGCAAAATAGTTTGTTTTTTTTGACCTTTATAGATCAAGGGACCTCCTTACCCAGACTCTCAGCCAACCCAGGCAACCCCGAATATTTCAAAAACGCTAGATTATCTCGGTTACTCATTGCTATAACCTTCGTAAAACCATGACTTAAATTATTTAATGCCTATTAGATTAAGCATTAAACTACCTTTCATGGATGAAGACAGGCATGTTTTCATTTTGTGAGATGAAATGGTACTTATGAGGGTAAGTACGAGACTGATTTCACTAACAGCACTGTGCGTGTCTATCATACCTGATTGTTAGATATGGAGAGCCGGAGTGGAGAGAGTTTTCTCTGTTTGCCGTCATTGAGCGATTTCCCCTTGGGCCCGTCACAGTCCATAGTGAGGTTCTGGTTCTGTCCGCTCTCGTCCCGCGACGGTTCTTTGTCCTTGCGGCTGCGCCGTCGTGTGCTAGAGCCCAGATTCTCTGTGGGTTCCATGTTATGCTTGAGCACAGGGCATTCCTGATTGCCTTTCACACACGCACAGTCCACCTTATATTTACTAGCAAACAAGATGAGAAACAGGAAAAGTAGTAAGAAAAGTGTGAACGGTCCATTTTAAACAATTATCTGATGCAATCAGAATCAAACATTTCAAACAGAATAGTCATTACACATCCAGTAATCGGGGATACTCAGCCCTAGTGCGTGTTCTTACCAGCTGCCGTAGTCATAATCAAAGCCAATGGTGATCTCACTCCCTTTGGAGATGGACCTCAGAGAGTAAATGTATAAATGCAGCATGCCGTCCTCGATTACGTGGCGCACCTCAGCGTTGGGGGTGCAGGAGCGACGAATGAATCGGGCCTCGTTGCCGAAACTCCGTGCGTCCACGCACATTTCCAACCCGTCAAACTTAGAGTAGAACAATACAAAAGGGTACGGCCTGCGAATAAAAAATGAAAATTATAAACAAAAATGCAGAAGCAAAACTAATGTTCAAAAGCACAAAGTGTCCTTTCAAGTACCTCTTAAAGAAGTAACCATTGGCCTCAAATTGCTGTTGTAGCATGACTTTCCCCCTGTACTCGATTATGAGCGAATCGGCAGCCAAATCCCGAACAGCCTTAAGAATGCGCTTGTTCTTCTGTACGTGACTCTGGGAGGAAAAAGTCACAATGAGCATGTCGTACGAAGCCACAAACAACGCACCAGAAGTGCAGACCAATATTGTGGTGGAATTTGCATATGTGAGTATTTAATACCTCAACAGGTGGTTTGAAGGCTGCGGTGTGTGTATTGTAGGCCAGCGTTTTGCCATCTCTGGCTTCTTTTACTCTTAGCAGTATCCGCACTTCTTCACTGTACTGGTTACTGCTGGCTTCCTCATAGCGCTCCATCCACGACTTCATCTTATTCTCCCAAAGAGAGGGAGGATCTGTTGGCTCACACTCGGGAGCTGAGCCCTGAGGACAGAAGATGCACAAGATGGTAAACAAGCAGTGTAAGCATGCGTAACACACATTTGAATAGTTATTTGGGGGGTAAATTTGGATAGCTCCAGAGTACCCACCTTTACTCTAGACGATTTTCTAGAGCCTTCACGGAATGACTGAAAGACAAACAAGCAGAAATCAGACTTGTATGTTTCAAAGCAGGTGAAGTAATTGATTTTGGTTCCATAACATGACACATTTACATATATAATATCTAAATAAACAAAATAATCTAAAAAGACTTGCAACAAAATCTTCTGAGAAGAAAAAACAAAAAGTATTACGGTTTCCACAAAAATTCAATATTGACGTCATGTTTACATGTACATTAGGTTGACATCATATTTACATTAGGTTGACGTCATGTTTACATTTACATTAGGTTTGTTGTGTGATTCAGACCTTCTTGGCCCTGGTTGTAGCCGGGGGCTCCTTTTCTCCACTCTTCTTTCGTTTCTTATCTGCCTGTTTGTTACCGAGACGTGCTGTCGTGAGTGTGATGCTGGTAGGGGTGTGCTGAAACGCTGTGTACAACTCTAGTGGAACCTCATCTCCACTTTCTGTAGCACTGGTGTCCCCGTCTGCAACAAAACACGAAGTACATGAGCTTGTACATTGAATTCACCCCCTAAACCATTATAGTACAACTGACATTTAACCCTCAACCATAAATATAAAGTCACTGCAGTTTAAACAGACACTATTGTCCTCAAAGTGCACTTTGACATTGAATCAAGCTGCAGCTGTAATGCCCAAGCATTTCCAGCAGGTGACAGTAGAGGCCGAGAGCTCAGATATTTTCAATCTTAAAGGGGTCATATGATGTTGCTAAAAAGAACATTATTTTGTGTATTTGGTGTAATGAAATGTGTTTATGCGGTTTAAGGTTCAAAAAACACATTATTTTCCACATATAAGAGCTTGTAACACTCCAAAGAGAAAGGAAAAATTGAAATCGCATCATATGACCCCTTTAAGAAATCTCTAGCAATTATTGACATCACTTGATCACTACACAGAGAGCTTCTTATAGAATTGCCGGTATAGATTTCAGGAGGGTCAGATATATATTTCACGTTATACAAAAGCTCATACGATCCTGTATAGTGTAAAGTCTTCAGACTGTAAAGATGCTTATCTGCAGCTGAACTGTGGGAAAAAGCAGTAGTGGCATTGTTTCTGTGGGAGAGGTTGAACGTGTCTATGGGTGTGTTTGTTTGTGTGTATGCATGAAAAAAACTCACCAGACATGTTCTCTCTCTTCCTGGTTTGCAGTAGGATGGCGTGCTCTCGGTCCAGGATGCGTGGCTGACAGCGTTCACACAGGTAGGTCTCGGGAATGTGCTGCCGGTCGATCCCCATGCAGTCTATGTGCTGCCACACACTAATACACAGAGAGAGTTATGAGTAGTGTTGTCAAAAGACCCGGTATTTCGGTACCAAGTTGGTACTAAAAAAATGAAAACGTTACGGTACCAGGTTTTTTTAAAGTACCGGTGGTACAGAGTACCCGGTCAACCCGGTTCTTGATGCGCTAAACGAAAGCTATCCTCTTCCGGTGTTGCCAAGTCCGCGGGAATTGGGCTGCTTAACACTGTTGCCGCGGGTTGTTTTTCATGTCCGCGGATATTTAGCCCCTGGAATGCAAATTTTACCAGGGGAACCCCGCCAAAACATGGGTATTTCATCCTCGGAGCGCGATTTTTAACGGGGACCCCCTTGAAACGCGATTGGGCGGGTTTTGTTGTGAAAACCTGGCAACCTCTTCATAAAAGCAGTGGCGACCTCAAGAGGAGGAAACGCATCAAACTAACAAAACACCCCGATCAAGTTCAAGCAGGTAAGTTTCAATTACATTTTTAATATTTAGAGCTTCTGTTATGAATATTATTCCATATTTTAATTTTAATTTCGGATTGAAATAAACATCGCCGTTAGCGTATACGTAGTTAATCGTTAGCATAAGTGCGGCTAACGCTAATATAATGAGCATTAGAATTAATTTTGTTCATTTTGTTCAAAATGGTTTATTTGTTAACTATCTAATGCTCCTATAACTTTTATTACTGTAAAAAACAGGAGGACATCACTTTTAAATAAGTATAAAGAATGGCATTGGTTTTGTACATTTAATTTTTGTTTAACGTTATTAATAAAAATGTTGTTCAATTAGCATGTTTTTGTGTTTTGCTTTGGTACCGAAATTCGTACCGAGAACCGTGGATTTTCACTGGTATTGGTACCAAATACTGAAATTTTGGTACCGTGACAACACTAGTTACGAGTGAGAAGAAATGTTTTAAACCATTTAAATTCTTGGTATTATTTGACTGTGATCAAAGCGACTGACAGATCCTACTATTCAAACACTCAATCAACTGTCTGAACCTATATCAACAGTAAGTTTTCATCTGCACTCTGAATTCCCAGCACTGTTACATGTCTTTTTAATAGCACTAATCTCACAAACAAAGAATGGGATCTTATAAAATGAATGGGACAGAAAACGGGTAACACTGAGTAAAACCATCTGTAGTATTTTAACAGAGTAAAGCTACAACCAAAATAATCAAAATTATAACAATTGTAATAAAAAAAAAATACCTGGCCTGAAATAATTTTTTGTAAAAACACAGCTTCCCATCCAATTATGTCAAATACTTGACTTAATATTTCTGAACAATTATTGCTATTAGCCATGAAATTAAATCAACATTAACATACAAAGTATCTGTAAATGATGTACAAAATATTAAAACATTGTAATCTTTACTGAAATGCATTTAAAATAAGGGCTGGTAACTATGTTCGATAACATAGCTCGGAACTAATCTAGAAAAGAATAGTACAACATATAAAATAATATTTTGCAAAAATTAAATATTTTAATAGTACATACACTACTGTTCTAAAGATTGGAATTGGTAAGATTTTTTTTTTAATGTTTTTGAAAGAAGATGAGCACTCACCAAGGCTGCATTTATTTGATCAAAAATACAGTAAAAACAGTAATATTGTGGAAATTTATCACAATTTAAAATAACTGTTTTCTATTTTTATGCATTTTAAAATGTAATTTATTCCTGTAATTTAAAGCTGAATTTTCAGCAGCCATTACTCAAGTCTACACTGTCACATGATCCTTCAGAAATCATTATAATGCTGATTTGGTTCTTAAAGGCACAATATGCAAGATTTTCGTAATAAAATATCAAAAAAACCACTTGCACATTGTTATATATTTCATGCAGTTGTGCACTTAAGTTATCCCAAAAGTTCCCAAGGATTTATAAATCCAGAGAAATTCCAATTTTAAATAATGGCTCGTCCCGGTTCATTGTCGCCTATCAATTACATAATATCCACGCTATCAGTTTCCGCTTGTAGAAACTATGGCAACACACGTGGACAAAAATAGCGCTGCAGTTAAACTAAATGAAAATGAAATGAAAAGTGTTGACTGCAGCATTAAATTTAGATCTGCTCAATGTTGCACCATGAATCTTTTTCCGCGTTTTTACAGTGTTGCGCATTATAACCAATCACACACGAGTCTGTTGAGTTTATAAACGCAGCGGCCAATCAGAGGCGTTTAGATAAGTCATCGCTGAAACACCAGAGTTTTGTTGTTCAGTGCACGTGCTCGCTGACTGAATTCTGCTCTCTCGAGTATTCTCTCATCATAAACAACAAAGTGCAGAAGTACATATGATGTAAGTAGTAGATTCATTCATCAAACAGTGTATAGACAGCTTTACTGATTATAAGGGTAGTTTTTTGAGAGTGCTTAAACTCACGCTAGACGGAAGTCAGGCATACTGTTCTTTGACAATGTAACGTTAAATGTTTTTTGTTCGCTTTCTCTATATAATAACCCTAAGAAGAATAATTGCCATATAACTATTGTTTATTGTTAGGTCATGTTATCTAACAAATAAAATCTTATTGTAAAGTGTTTTTAATACTACAGTTTCCATCTATTTGATATACACTTAATATATGTAATCTTATCTAAATTTCTTATAAAAGCTGAGGTTTGTTATTTACTGAAAAGTTATATTGTAGCTGGTGTCAATGATCTAATGTTGCATTTGGTCAGACTCAGCCCATTGCTTTACTGAAGTATATTATATTTTCCTTTTACAGCTGCAGACTGAGGAAGATCCTGAAACACACCAGCAAACCCTAAAACAGACAACAGTTTACAGATGTTTTTCAGTGGCAGCAGAACTATGACTAAACTGTTGGGTGAAACTTGTTTACTTTTTTCATACTTTTATTACTTGTGGAAAAACTTGAAACACTTTTAAATAAGTATAAAGAATGGCATTGGTTTTGTACATTTAATTTTTGTTTAACGTTATTAATAAAAATGTTGTTCAATTAGCATGTTTTTGTGTTTTGCTTTGGTACCGAAATTCGTACCGAGAACCGTGGATTTTCACTGGTATTGGTACCAAATACTGAAATTTTGGTACCGTGACAACACTAGTTACGAGTGAGAAGAAATGTTTTAAACCATTTAAATTCTTGGTATTATTTGACTGTGATCAAAGCGACTGACAGATCCTACTATTCAAACACTCAATCAACTGTCTGAACCTATATCAACAGTAAGTTTTCATCTGCACTCTGAATTCCCAGCACTGTTACATGTCTTTTTAATAGCACTAATCTCACAAACAAAGAATGGGATCTTATAAAATGAATGGGACAGAAAACGGGTAACACTGAGTAAAACCATCTGTAGTATTTTAACAGAGTAAAGCTACAACCAAAATAATCAAAATTATAACAATTGTAATAAAAAAAAAATACCTGGCCTGAAATAATTTTTTGTAAAAACACAGCTTCCCATCCAATTATGTCAAATACTTGACTTAATATTTCTGAACAATTATTGCTATTAGCCATGAAATTAAATCAACATTAACATACAAAGTATCTGTAAATGATGTACAAAATATTAAAACATTGTAATCTTTACTGAAATGCATTTAAAATAAGGGCTGGTAACTATGTTCGATAACATAGCTCGGAACTAATCTAGAAAAGAATAGTACAACATATAAAATAATATTTTGCAAAAATTAAATATTTTAATAGTACATACACTACTGTTCTAAAGATTGGAATTGGTAAGATTTTTTTTTTAATGTTTTTGAAAGAAGATGAGCACTCACCAAGGCTGCATTTATTTGATCAAAAATACAGTAAAAACAGTAATATTGTGGAAATTTATCACAATTTAAAATAACTGTTTTCTATTTTTATGCATTTTAAAATGTAATTTATTCCTGTAATTTAAAGCTGAATTTTCAGCAGCCATTACTCAAGTCTACACTGTCACATGATCCTTCAGAAATCATTATAATGCTGATTTGGTTCTTAAAGGCACAATATGCAAGATTTTCGTAATAAAATATCAAAAAAACCACTTGCACATTGTTATATATTTCATGCAGTTGTGCACTTAAGTTATCCCAAAAGTTCCCAAGGATTTATAAATCCAGAGAAATTCCAATTTTAAATAATGGCTCGTCCCGGTTCATTGTCGCCTATCAATTACATAATATCCACGCTATCAGTTTCCGCTTGTAGAAACTATGGCAACACACGTGGACAAAAATAGCGCTGCAGTTAAACTAAATGAAAATGAAATGAAAAGTGTTGACTGCAGCATTAAATTTAGATCTGCTCAATGTTGCACCATGAATCTTTTTCCGCGTTTTTACAGTGTTGCGCATTATAACCAATCACACACGAGTCTGTTGAGTTTATAAACGCAGCGGCCAATCAGAGGCGTTTAGATAAGTCATCGCTGAAACACCAGAGTTTTGTTGTTCAGTGCACGTGCTCGCTGACTGAATTCTGCTCTCTCGAGTATTCTCTCATCATAAACAACAAAGTGCAGAAGTACATATGATGTAAGTAGTAGATTCATTCATCAAACAGTGTATAGACAGCTTTACTGATTATAAGGGTAGTTTTTTGAGAGTGCTTAAACTCACGCTAGACGGAAGTCAGGCATACTGTTCTTTGACAATGTAACGTTAAATGTTTTTTGTTCGCTTTCTCTATATAATTTATTAGCTGTTTGAATAACTTTAGAAGTTACAGGTAATAAAAAAAAATTACAAAAAATGAATTCATTACATCCGTAAACATGATTCGGACATCTCTGGATGGTAAAAACGACATCTCCCATCGTTCCCCTCTCCTTCATAGCGTCATCAAGCTTCACCTTTGTTATTGTTTTGAAAATGCGACCTCTAGCGGTGAAAACTTACATATTGTGCCTTTAAGAAACATTTCTTAAATAGAAACAACAGCATTTACTTAAAGGCGTCATATGATGCGATTTCAAGTTTTCCTTTCTCTTTGGAGTGTTACAAGCTGTTCGTGAATAGATAAGATCCCTAAAGTTGCAAAGACTAAAACTCAAAGAGATATTCTTTATAAAAGTTAAGACTGGTCCTCGCCCTCCTAAAACACCTCGTTCAAACACGAGACGGAAGATTTGCATAACACCGCCCAAATGTTCACGCAAAGAAAGAAGGCGTAACTTTGATTCTCGCTGTAGTTTTGTTGTTGCCGTGTGTTTCGTTGTGAAAGTGAAACTACTTTGTTTGGTCTTCCAAAAGAGGACGATATCTGCTTCGTCATGCCTGGAGCTGATCTGTGCTGGTTGCTGAGGAAATACTCAACTTCGTGCTGTGGATCGCCGGATCGGCTTTCACCGTGGACGAAGCGGAGGCCACCCCGGGGTCGGCACATGTGGTTGCCGCAAGCCCGCCGGCCGCGCCGTTCTCAAGCCCGTCAGCCTCCGCTCACTCTAGCCCGCTGTGTGTTTTTTTGCGAAAGCGAAAATACTTTGTTTGGCCTTCCAAAAGAGGACACGACTAGAAATCAGTGGTTAAGTTGTATTTACAACACTGTTCCAGAACAGTTCAACCCAAATATTCAGATGTGTGCAGCACATTTTATGGAGGACTGTTTCCTGATCCTGGAAGAGTGCACTACAATGCCGGCTGTTCTGACTCACAGACTGTAAGTACGTTTTTATATTTAAAGAATTTGCCACTAACGATTCAAACGTGAGTTTTGAGCAGCGCAGAGTAGCGCTTGTTTGTCATTTCTCCGATCACAAATGCAGACATGGTTTTATGTTTACGCGGCGCGATATAACGCGACGCGATACAACGCAACGCGTAAAAAGGTAGTATAAGTCATTATAATCAGTAATTATGTCCCCACTGGATGCAACAAATGCCTCATTTATAATGGGTTTTATTGGTTTTGTCTCGTCGCGCCGGGACACGGCATCACAGTATGGTAAGGGGCGTAACATTTCCGTCACACGCTTGAGGTATTCGGCCAATCAGAGCACACCTCGCTTTTCAGACCGATGAGCTTTGTAAAAATCGACGCGTTTCAGAAAGGCGGGGCATAGAGAAACAATAATGTACAGTATGTGGAAAATAATGTGTTTTTTTTAACCTTAAACTGCATAAACACATTTCATTACTAAATACACAAAATAATGTTCTTTTTAGCAACATCATATGACCCCTTTACAAACTTGTGTAACATTATAAATATCTTTACTATCACTTTTGATGAATTTAATGTGTCCTTGCTACTTTTTATGCAAGTATAAAAAACACATACAACATTAATATTTTTACCCTACATCTAAGGGCATCTATGCCCTTTTAGACAATTTTTGACAGATCTCTACTACCTAAAAACTTTTTTTTAAATATCATTACTACATTAAAAACATTTAATTGCATAATTTCATTACATCTACCCTACATTTAAATCTGTGGCACGTTTGTCACTCTTTGTGGCATCTTTGCCATCTTAATGTCTGACTCTGTCTAGGACCCACTGGTTGTAATATAGCCTACCTGATTCTTTAAACCAGGCCTCGTCTCAAGAACTAGTGAGCTCCACATCAATAAAGCATTTTAGACAGCTTAAGACAGATAAGCACCTCAGCAGGTTTTGACACAGACATGAACGCTGTAATTACATATGTGGACATGGTTTGAACATGTCAAATTGGCATCAATGTGTGTGGTCCCACCTGCACTTGTCGCAGCAGATCATGTAGCCATCGTCATGGGTGAAGCCGCAAATGCAGCGTGTGATGTCAGCACCGTAGCTGCCGTCTTCCGAGGTGCTGAGCGTGGTGCCACGCGACGCCTCGTCCTGGCCGCCAGGCACAAACAAGTTCTCGCCTGGCCGACCCCCGGACACAAACAAACTCTCGCCCGGCCGGATCAGCACCGAGGGAGGCGGGGATGCCGGCGGGGTGGGTGGGGGTCGAGCCCCATAATTGTGGTCCTGCCAAAGAACCATTAGAAATTAAAGAAGTGAATGCATGATCAGATAACACAGAATGTTGATAAGCAGGTCAACAATGTAAGGGCAGGAAGGTGTGTGCCATGTTTTGCTGGGAGACGATACTCACGGCGTAAGGCAGACCGATGTAGCCGTGGGAGTGGTGGGAGCTGCTGCTGTAAATCTGGTGAGGGTAGCTGGACTTCTCAACTACCACAGAGCTCGCCTCCACAGATTCTGGTCTACTCCATATAAACAAATACACAGGGGGAAAAAAAGTGGCCAGAATGAGGAACAAGTTTAACTAGGCGTGTTAAGTATATGAAAAAAAAAACAGGTTTGACAGCAGTGAAACAAAGGGGAAACGAAGATGGAAGATTAACAAAGCTTGCTGGGTTGCAAGGAGAAGTTTATTCACCAACGAATCAACGGTTGTGTTTGCACCAGTTATTGCATATTTTAGCATGACACAGAACACCAAAGACCTCAGTAGTGACCTGCTATCTGTACACGTGTGTGTGTGTGTCCGGTCATGCCCTCAGCTGGCGGGACGCGGCTTGTAGAAAGTGAAATAACAGGATCACACTTCTCTGTAATCACACAATAAAGTCTGTCACAAACCCCAAACCCTATCTGGACCACACAAACATGCCAAATGAATGGGCCCTCGCTTCCATGTGTTATTAGAAGCGAATTAAATGAATGGAAGAAGATTTAGAGTAAAACCAGAAATGGCAGGAGTGTTGTGTGTATAAAACTGGCTGCAAAAGAACCTTTAATGCCAAGTTTTATTGGCAAAAAAGGACACCGAGAAAGATGGACCATTCCAGACAGATTTATAATCGCATATATAAACATAACAGCATTTTTTTCCCACACAAAAACAAGGTCATGCAGCCACTCTGATGCCAGTATATAAACAAATTGCATGCTTAACCTGACACCAATGCACTCACATAAACAACATTTATGGGTAATTTGCATATTACTACACTTCTGCATTCGAAGAAAGCGTGTGCTGTTTTCAACGTGTGAGACGAGACAAAAACAAGCACATATATACTTCAATAGATACAGTAGTCCTTAAAAAACATGATTACTTACAAAAATGGGTTCAAACCTACCATAAATCAAGGTGTCTGCAGCGTAAACAGCAGAAGCAGCATGACAACACACAGAAACCAGTCCGTATTTGTTTCTCTTTCCAGTTTTTGTTACATTCCCACTTTCCTCTCAATCATTACGGTCTTACTGCAAGCAAAGAGAAACCGTACCTGCTGGCCTTCTCGTCACATTCACCTCGTGCTGTCTGTCCCTACCTCACGCTCACACTTCCTGATTCAGTTGGTGCTTTGCAGCCCAACTGACAAAGTGAAAGTGTGTGAACTGCTGAGGGGCGGACCCTTGAGAGAAAGAGAGTGTGTACACACAAGTCTAATGAGAACAAGAGCTCATAAGAAGAAATGGCCCTTCCAGGCAGGCGATAAATGATTAGCAGTTTTTATTGATGCTTTTACATTGCGGTTTGGGTTTAGCGATAAGATTATCAACGTGGGACAGGTGACAAGCTGGGGGATTTCCTGTGCATCGATGACAATAAACTATAGTGTCTTTACTAAAAAAACAGTTGCCTCTCTCAGCAGGGTTAGGAGGAGGACATTAAACAGGCAGCGAGTCAAAAGGAGACAAAGAGAAGGTGGTTGAGTAGGTGCAAATGCAAAGAGAGGTTTGACAGATTGAAAAAAAAAATTGAATTACCCATAAACGTAGCATTAAAACACAACATTTTGATCACATAAAATATTATGACACTCAGTTCTGTTAATGGTTCCCAAACATTACTCTGAATCAAACTAAAAGTCAGTTTTCTCAAAATGTTGTTTGGTGATCAATCAGTGCAGAAATTACACACTTCACCTTTAACACCCGGTCCTAACCAGTCCCAATGCGATAAGATTTTGTGTCCACACTAGAGTTGTGACGGTGAGGACATTTTTCCACCGGTTAATCAACGTGTGACAACACCGATAATACCGGTATCACCATGGGTGCAGGGGTGTTCCTTCTTTTCCTCGCTTTCCTTCACTTTTAAATAGCGTCTAAAAACTGCGTGCGCATTTTACTTTCACTTTCAAATAGCGGCAATTCGGCATAAAGCAATTGTTCGTTTTTAGTTTGTTTGAATTTCCCCTCTTTTCCTCGCTTTCCTTCGCTTTTAAATAGCTTAAAAGTGCCGTGCACATTTTACTTTCACTTTCGAATTAGCGGCAGTTCGGCGTCAATTGCTTGAATGCAACAACAAAATACAACATCAAACTCACTTTAGCGTATATATAAAACATAGAACTTTTATTAACAAAACAAATAAAAATACACCATGCTATAGGGCAGGTTATGCCTAATATAAAATAACAAATAACTTCCATAAAGTTTAAATAGGTATACAAAACTGGAAATAGGCTAAGTAAACATGTATAATATATAACCAAATAAATAAGAAACGTAGAACGTTTATTAGCAAAACGAGTAAGAAAGCTTGGAGGCACGGCATACACCTTGATGT